TACACGAATGCATGTTATCATTGCTGTAATATATTTATCTAATGGATCATTTTTCATTCTTTTAAAAAGTTATTTTATTTCGAAAAATTTATTTTGAATATATTTTCTTATCTTTATAAGTATAACAGACGATGTAACAAAAAAAAAGAAAAAAAACTAAAATTACTATCTAAATTTATAAATCTTGGGAACAGCGATGTTAAGAAAGAATGCAGATCAAAAAATGTAGCAACGCTATATTTTCTACACGCTGAGTGTTTAGATTCCATCATTTAGAAAACTTATTATACGATTCTATGTCCTGTCTTACATAATAATTCATTGCCGTTGACTCGTTTACAATAACAATTGTCAGTAAAACATTTATCATCTACAACTTACATATCGTCTATGGTGCACAGTATTGCTTGTCCGTTTTATCTTAGTGCAGTGCATACAATATTTAATCCTTGCCACACTCATTGAATCTTCACTCGTATTCATTCCATTATTTTCAAATCATATATGACTTTAATTGCGAACGCATCAAGCTACACATTTTACCAACGACTAATCCAGGTAGCAAAGTATCGCCAATACAACGCCGTCAAATTACGTATTGTCATTTTATTGATGACACTTTGTTACCTGAGTAAATTCTTTTTCTAGCAAAATTTTGTATTTTTTTTTGTTTTTATACTATATTCACCATACAAAATACTCACAAACATGACTTTTACTATGTTTTTTTATCATTATATACGCTTTCAATGTTTTATAAAAAATGATAAGTTATATAGAAATACGGAAAAGCGTGGCTGGTATTTTATTGTTTGACAATTACATGACGATACACATAATTCTATATTGCATATACGTCGGCAATAAAAAGCGACAATTTTACATTCATTGCCTCGCAATTTTGCGTTTAAGTATACTTGCAAATACCAACTGCCCGTATTCGTAGAAAAATTATTACACGTTAATATAAACTATCACTTTTCAAAAAATTATTGCTGCTGTTTCACATCGCGCGAAAAACTTTCTCACACATCTCACATAGTTAACCATTCGACGGAAATTCTGTTATTTTTCATCTTAAATATATAGGATTGTCCTGCTTGATTTCTTGTTAAATAAACGAGGTATATATATATATATATAAACGTATATCTATAAAAAATATTTCTTTAAACAAATTTAGCAATATTCCATAAGTTTAGCTGTTGAAAAAAAGAGTGTATCTATATTTATTGAGCTAAATGTTATAAAAAAAATTATCAACATTGCCAAAAATTATCTCTTCTAATCACACTTGTATAGTCATTTTCTACAAACTAAACTATATTGCCTTGAGACGTTTCGTTTTTCATAATGATTTACTTTATATATGAAAGCAAAATATTGTCCCCGATAAAAGATAATCATTTAGAAATATTTTTCCTTAAACGCGGACGATGCGACGTACATAAACACGCATAATAGGAATTAATTTTTACTTCTTCATTTTATTATAAAAATCAGTCATTCTGTTGTGCCTTGTTTCATGAGCAAAAAAGAATCACACTTGAATACTTAAATAATATCGATCACCCAGCACGGTGGGACAATATCATTTATATTGTTCAATCGCAGTAATAGTTCTTTCGAAATAGGCTCGCTTCTTCCCGACGACGGGTTCCACTTCCTCGAGAAAAGTAATTCTATTTGTGAACGTTGTTCTCGTGACGTAGAAGATAATCCTTGCGCCTGAATTTCCTGCCGCATACCGTGCAATTGTGCTTCGGCAGCACGCCGCAGCCCTCGCGCAGATGCCTCGTCAGAGAGTCCGTCCACGTGTAACGCTTGCCGCACTTGTGACACGTGAATGGCCGGTCATAGTTCACGCGGCAGTGTTCCCTTTTGAATTCTGAAACAAGTCGCATAAAGGCCGACGGTGAGATCGCTGATTTCATCGACGGCCTTCTTTAAACTTTTTTGCGCTCGGCTCGCGATAAATATAACAATTTATTCGAGTCGATCATTTTGAAATCAATACTACAGATTGGTTTTCATAAGAAGTAATTAATAAAAAAAATCCACATCCACATGTAGGAGATAGAGTTGCGTCTAAGCATTTTAGTTTTCTTGTAATATTAATTTTGTTGACTCGTATCTTTTTAAAAATTACAGATTTTACAGTTAGCTATAACATGTTACTTAAACGCATGCTAGGACGAAAATATAGACAAACGTTTAACTAAAAAAGTTGAAACAACTAAATAGGAAAGATTTAATAATACGATAGTTTTCGTGAGGTTTTTAGAATCATTATGCGGATACTCGTTCTAGTGCTAAAAAATTATAAGATAATAAGATTTAATTAAGAATAATTAAAGACTAAGATATTGAATTAAAACAGCTTCTTCTTTTTTATTTTTCGGCACAATTTCTTTTCAAAGGTTCAGCAGTAGATTCTAGCAGGATAATAACGTTAAATTATTAACTAGCAATAAAAACTCAATATATATATGTGTATATATAGAAAGATATTTCTATTTATTTATTTTTGTGCAATATAAATTCGATCGAAATACAATAGCAATAAAACATTTTAGCTAAATGTAGCGTCATGAGAATTTCACCAATCATGTATAGGAAATATAATAATGCTTAATATATATAATATATATTAATATTAATCAATAATTTCGATATTTTCAGACGTGTCTTGAAACGCGTGTGATTTCAAATAATCTTTACGTCAATTGAATACAAATGTCTGTGTAACTGCACGTATGCATACAGATACATTCTTTCGTTTCTTCTAGCGTATATGACGTTCGTTTTTTCTTTTCTATTGTTTGTGGTTATTTTACTGAAAATTGATTGTCGTAACAGAGCATGCAGTCTTCTATAGCCCGCTACCACATTTCTCGCGTATGCTGTCATATAAAATTCTTGCATTATAGAAGCCTCCTTTCCTTTTCCGTATTAAATCGTCACTCTGAAACGTTTCCATTCGTTAACATAGCCAAGAACTCTCTCGGCTACTTCTTATATTAATCTCTTAATGCCCAAGCCTGAGTTAATTCGGCCTCGATATTCGCGAGGGCTATATAAGGGCATAAAAATTACATTTATTTTTAACACTTTATTGCAGAAAAATCCGAGCGTCAAGCGGTTAACAAACAATAAAGTTTTTTCTGAACAAATTAATAACTTTTAGCAAAGTAATAATTTCCGCTTATGGATGAACGAAAGTAGGAAAAAATAATAAAAAATATTTTAAATTAAAAAATTTGATCATATCGTGATTTTCTATAGTAATTATAAATAAAATTGTAATTTTTTTTGCTCGTTTATGCTCGAATTTAATCTTTCTTTTTTACTTTTCATATAACTTGAACCTTTTTTCATATTTTCTCGTGCTGATGTGGCCGAAACATTCTTTATATATTGATTAATAGCAATTAATAGTTTTTGCGCTCGGAGACAATCGTGCTTCTGGTTCTTATAGCTTTCTTTATCATTGTTTGCCTTCAAAGTGCATCTTCTGTGTGTGCTTATTTTATTCATAAATTAGCACAGATGATTCGTGTTTTTATTTTATTTTATTTTTTTATTTTTGTACAAAAACAATAGAGTGCTGTACAAATAGAATAAACCACAAGCTCGGCAATAGTTAAGCATATACATATAACAATCTATGTAAAGAAATCACTTGCTGTTAACAATTTTAAATTCACAATAATAGTTCAATCGTAAAGAAACTAAATCTTATTTTCACACTTATGTGCAGCATATCGATTACGAAGCGGTACATATAGAGATGATTTTCTTATGTATCGATCGCTGTACAATGATTTGAAAAGTTATTATTACTATTACTATAAGGAGACCATTATATACATCTTTACTCTATAGGTGTCAGCAGTAATGATTAGATAATTTAAAAATTTAATATTTACATATATTTATATATTTGTGTGATTATATAAAATAATTAAAATTATAATATTTAATAATTTAATGTCATTGAAATTCAATATTTTCTTCCATGGTTAAAAAACATACACGCGATAAAATAACGGATGACGATTAAAAGCAAGAGTAAACCCATTTTTTAAATAAATAAATAGAATAAATTTCGTATAACAGTCAACGTTTCTCGGTGGTTCTCCGTCTTAACACATTGCGGACCGTATGATGCTGATTGTATAAAAATTCCATTTTTTATGGAAAATATATACAGGGTCCATAAAGATTGGGATCAAATTTATATGTTAATGGGGTCCAATAAGTGAAAAAAGTTTATAAATCTGTGTTCGAAAATGCTTAAAGTTATGCATTGTTAAGCGTTCAAAGATGCACGAGAAGAATTGTTTGGTAATTATTTAGATTACACCTCACCAATTCTTCTGCCGCTGAAATATATTGTAAGGGAGGTTTTTCTGAGTAAATCCCCGCGTAAGAACCACGTGGGGGACGGCACTGGTTGTAGAGATATAAGAAATTAAATTTATGCATGTACTGTAAAGGTACTTAATTAGCAGAGGAAAATTTAACTTGTTATCTCTGAAACCAGTGCTGTTCTCCACATGTTTCGTGCGGGGATTTACTCAGAAAAACCTTCCCTACAATATATCTCAGCAGAGAAATCGGTGAGATACAATTTTATCTGAATAATTACCGAACAACTCTCGTGAATCTTTGAACGCTTATAACGTTTTAATAAAGTATTTTCGAACACAGGCTTCATATAAACTTTTTGCATCTCCTGGACTGCATTAACACACTGTATAAATTTGATTCTAACCTTTACGGACACAGATATTTTTGTTTGATAAAAACGTCGCGCAAAGATACTCGATAGACGTAAACTGACAATTTTCGACAAAAATAAAACACATCTGCGGTCCGCAGTGCGTTAAGACATTCTAACATGGCGCGCCCTTAAACGAGAAGGCGCATATCATCAATTTTTTTATGTACATTTCAAAAAACGAATAACTAATTGACTAATATGACTTTCAGAAAATAACTAATATGTTTGATTTTTACTATTCAACAATCTTATATAAGACGTGCATAAAATCTCATATCTAAAAACGAATAACAAAAGCGTTAGTTGTTTCGCTCAATAATTAAAATGGATCTAATCGCGCAATCATAACGGCGCAGTTGATTGCTTAAAACAATCGATGAATCGATCATTGCCGAGCTCGCGGGATCACAGTATGTGTCCGTGAACTGTCCACATGTGCCGCTGGAAGTTGCATCGCTGATGAATCGCCTTATTACAATAGCAGCACAAGTATTGCGGCAACTTGTTGCACTCCTCTCGCAGGTGGCGGTTCAAGGTGCTCTTGTTCGCGTAAGATCGATGGCACTGGAAGCAGGGATACGGTTTCTGTAAACATCAAGTGAGCGGGGTCCTCGACGACCTCTCCGTTCTACCTGAAAGCAAAATTCGAACGGTGATTAGTTACGCACGATGCGTATTCGACATTCGATAGATTTAATCGGCTTGTAATCTTCGCGATGCGTTATTGTCTCCGACTCTCTATTTCATCTTCGATCGGTTTCAATCAAACGAGCCATTTGAATTTGAAAATGAATGATAACGTTAGTACTTTGACAACATATACAAAATGATGGATTCTTTTTGCAAATTTAAGGAACTATTTATACACTTTGCTTAACGAAGTTTGATGGATAGCTTACATTCAAGCTAGAGTTATATGTTAAAGTGCTTTTACAAATAAAAAAAGAAATATTCTAAATATGTGATTCGATTCTTCTTGAACGTGATAATCTTCCAAGTCTTCGTGGTTGCATCTTCAGATAGCACTGCCATTCACAAATGATCTTATTGATAAAATCGACTAGTGACAGGTTGTGAAGTATTGGCAACTAGGCGTATTAATAATAATTTTATTATCGCGTAATCTAGAGCACTTGTTATATTAAAATGATAATAAACTACAATTAAACACCGCAAACGGGGTCATATTTAACTAAGGCCTCGGTGAATGTTCCGTTTAACATCCGAAAACAAGAATTAGTGAACTTATCACAGAATTTTCTCACTCACAGAATAAGCGAAAAGGAATCTTCGAGCGGTGCGCAGCATTAGTAGCTCTTAATTTTGAAATTATCACCTCAGCTTATTTGCGATTACAATTCCCCGCCTTTCAATCATCGGTATTGTGCGTCGATCAATACAATCAACACGGATATTCTCTATATTTTTATATATCAGCGTAATCTAATAGCATTGATAGTTTTATTATGAAAACCCTCTACCACTGAGATGAGATAATGTATTTGTTACAATATAATTATACATGCAATTAACAAATAAACTAACATCTTAAGTTACGTAACCAGTGGCGGATTCACATTTTTGGGGATTTAAAATTGATATTTCTTGATTTTATTCTTCTATTAAAATCTTTTAAAAAAACGTTCACATTAAAATATATAATAATTTAAAAAGAATATCACAATTATTCGTCTACTTATTATAAAAGAATTACTTCTAATAAAATTAATATACGTATAAAATATACGCATAAAAAAAATTCACCGTATTAAAAAGATATACATAAAAAGATATACATAAAAATTATAATGAATGTAAATTTCATTGTTATTAACACGAGTTTGATTTAATAAAACAATTAATAAATTTTAAGATTAAAAAAATATGTACAATTTATACATGACAAGTGATACATGTAATGTCCTTGGCATCGCGGATTTATTAGTTTATAAGTAGATCCGCCACTGTATATGCAAAGAAACAAAGAACAAGTGTTGAGTAAAAACTAATTGCATACAATAGCATTATAAGGACATAAAGTGCAAATTTTGCGAAGTGTCATCTTCGATCTCGATAAAAGCTGAAAGTTAATTAGTTTTCTTTTAATTTGATAAAACAGATTAATAATAGTTTTAATTTGATAAAACAGATTCATTCTCTCTCTTTTTCATTTAGAAATTCTTCGCAGGAAGTACTGATTATATAATTATGTTCTTCCCGCGGTAGTTCTTTCTGCGTATTCTTATCTATTCTTCAGTACATCATCGACGTTCTTCCTTTCGTTGTAATTTCCATCTTGACTAATTATATTAAATTTTGAACTTCTTCTTGAACTTCTAATCTTTCAGATAACCTTTTCGCAAAGGATCGTATAAAGGATACCAATCACTTATATTCCATAATCCTCGCAAAATAGGACTTTCAATAATAATACAATCTATCAGTCCTTAAGAAATTTCAGCTTCTTCTTGTAATTTTATCGATACTTTTATGTATCGCAGTAAATCGCAAAAAGTATCACAATATATCCACAAACTTACTACAAAATATGGCAATAATTCGAGGCATTATACTCTTCGAAATATACAATTTTTGAAGTAGCGAAACGCGTAGTCTCTCTAAAATTCGCTGAATTTACAATTAGATACTAATCAGTCTGCCAATTTAACGCATGATACGCATAAACTGATTTTTATATTCATCAAACATCAAAGACCTATTTACTAGTCGACGACAAAGCTTCATAGGTTGCTCGGGTATGATAAATGAAGTTTCGACATCAAAAACGCGCGTTGAATGCGCGCGTTCGCAATAATACGTTTGGAGTTCTTCTTCATTGCCGACGCGATGCGACTTTGCAGCGATACGCTAAACTCTATGTAGTCTTTAGTGATGTCTTCATGATGAACACTCTTGACGTGACGCTTGCAGTTGTCAATTTGATGGAACTCTCTTTTGCAAATCGTACACTTGTACTGTGGCATCTTGTCACATTCGAGTTTTAAGTGACGCGATACGCTGCTTTTGGCCTTGTAGCTCCTGCCACATTTGGGACAAACATGCCGCTGACCTGAAATTTAGAGAACAAAAGTGTTCATCACTGAATCTTGACGAAACGGTGGAACAATAAGAGAGTGCGCGTGATCTTTGAAAGCACAAATGATCTCTTCAAGCAGGCATTTGTGTTTACTATATATGTATATATATGAATGAATAAATTAATGTAAAGAAGGTCATGTCGCTACTTCGTTAGTGCTATATTGTTAATTAATCAAAAGTTTAACAAGAAAATAATTGAAAATTAATGTCGGTAATTTTGCGGATGATCTTCTACGTTGCTGGTTGCAAAATCTTCATGTAGTTAAAGAAATAAATGACACGATATAGTGGTTAAAATATCGCTATCTTTATCGTGTCTTTATTTACGAGTACTTTTAGAAATGCGCACAAACACGTCCTGCTTGTGATTTTCGTGAAGCAAATTTGTCACGTGCATCGAAAATGCAAGCTTGACGTATTTGTGCTGAAAAAATCGTTTCGGGGAACCATTTGAAAGGATGATCGAGATTTATATTGTATGGTAGATTAGAATATGCGCATATGCAAAATATCCCACAAAAGCAGGTAGAAAGCTGCCGATGACTATGAGTCGTCGGCTTCGACGTGATTTTTTTTTTTCATAACATCACCTTTAAAGCACATCAAAGATTAATAATTAGCGAAAACAGGCCAAGTAAACGAGATTCGCTACCAAGAAGACGAATAGTAATCAGATGCGTGATAAAATGCAGAATCAAAGATAATGCGGAAGTAAGCATTCAGAGTTGCATGAAATCTTCGAGATTCACGATTCTTTCTTTCACAAAGGTAGAGACAGAAAGACGTTAATTAACGAATGATGATCCTTATATTCATTAATAAACATTTTCGAATGTCTTGCGAGTGACGTGGATGGGAGTTAGGCTAGGTGCAATTTGTGGAAATATAAATTTTTATTGTACAACTTGAGGGTTTGTTCAGTGGAATTGTGAAGGACGTGGAAGAGCGGTTAATAATTCCCGATGGATTAAAGCAGATCTTCCAGTGATAGCGAGATTATTTCACCAAGCTTGTAACAGATAAGAAAGAAAAATGACAGATTCTTTATTTTTGATAATTAAATTCAATCTTAACAAAACAATGCTAAAAAATAAAAATATAATGCTAGAAATACATTCTTCTCTATCTTCTTTATCGATGGGAAGAAACACGTGACGTTCGTGCTCCGTTTTCTTTTCTTATTCCATCTTCGAGGCAGCACATTTTTTCTCTTGTTTCGAAAATTATTAAAAGCATGTCGATGAAAAAGATGTTTTCCTAAGTTTTTTTATATTATCAACGACAATTTAACATTTTTTCCGATTAATCTAATCTTCTTTTTTTCTTTAATTATCTTCGTGGAAGTGTTTTATATGCCTCTTCATGTTGCAATGCTGCTTGAACTTCTTCCGGTAGTACTTGCATCTAAACTGCGGCGGTTTATTACATTCTCGCAAGTGTCAAAAACAGGGAATGTTTCCAAGAGTAGGTCTTGCCGCAAAGTTGATAGACGTATGATTTCGCCGATCTGCTGGACGTTGACTGAAAATGACAAAGAAACTAATGGCAATTAGAAATAGAAGTCGTTTAATTGATTCAATCTCGAAAAGTCTGAGTAATCTTTCGATGCTTTGAAATTCATAATGCAGATTACCGTCATGATTATTTTTAATATCATTAGAATATCATGCTCTTTTTTTAGTTATGTATGTTATTTACAAAATGTTTTATTTAGATACCGCACCTTATTATTAGATTTTATTGATGTACTAAAAGTAATTATATACAAAACATAAAATTGAGGCAATATTATTTACAATATTTTATATATATAAATATGTTACCAAATTCTCTATTTTGATTAATTTAATTGTGAATCTAAAACAATTGTGTGGTGAAATCTCTACGTGTGCAACAACATTGCATTATAAATATAATCAATCATAAAGCTCACATCTGCAAAATAATTAACAAGATACTTCTTGTATTCAAATTTCTACAAAATAATGGCGCTTAAATATTAGTCACACTGTCGCAGACTTTCTTTGCACAGGCCTGGCCTCAGATACAGCTTCTTCATGTAAATTTTCCGCTGGAATTTCCACGCGTCACCTGAAAAAAGGTAATTGATTGATTAGTATGTGCGGCTTAATAAAAAAAGAGCGACACTCTAGCGATTGTTGCTGCATGAGTCTCAATTTGCGATACAGAGCCATACATAGCTGAAAATATCGAGTAAATCATTTTGTATAAAAACGAGGAACTAAGAAAGTATGTAATTTTAACATATAGCTTAAAAAGTATAATATTATATCATGTTTTTATTTACGTTCCAAAATAATCATCGTCCAACAATTGTAGTACAAAAATACACTTCTTTAAATTTGCTATTATCAAGACAAAATATTTAATTGCTTATAGAAGAAATTTCGTTATTTATTGGAACATGTTTTTTCTTAAAAATTGATATTACAAAATATTACAAAAATTAATATTGCAAAAAAATTAATATTACAAAATTTATACATTAATATAAAAATTGTGTATGTGTGTGTAAAAAATTATATCACTCGCGTATTATCAAAATACAAACTATAACATAAAAAATATGTTCTCAAAATACAAAATATAAAATAAAAATATATTTCAACAATACAAAATAAAAATCCAGGATCTTTTAGAACAATATAATTTAGTACATTTCCGTTGTTAATCAAATAATTTTTATATCTGTTGCTTGTGAAAATTTATCCAATTTTTACCGGTTGTAAATTATGTACCAATTTTAGGTGCGCTTTTAAATGATGATTATATATAAAACGTTTCTTGCATAGGTCGCAAATAAACTGCCGTGGTCGGCCGCACTCGTATCTTTTATGTTTCATAAGAGATGACTTCAACAAGTAAGATTTGTTGCAATTCTCGCAAATAAAGTTCCGCGTCTGTGTACATTCGTTTCTTTTATGACTCCAGAGACAGCCTTGATTCAAGAATATCTTGTTGCATTCGTAACATGTGAATTGTTTTCTTGTCCATTTGACCGTGCTCTTTTGCTTCTGTCTTTGCGGTTGTAAATCTGCAATTAAACAAATAGAAAACGATTAGAATTGATCACAGAATATTAATGATTTCACAAAGTTGCTGACGTTCCTAATAAATAACGAACAAGATAAACGGAAGTCGAAGGCACGGGATCAGGAGAATCATTTTGCGATGTGCGAAATGACATGATTGAAAACACGCCAAAAGATGCATAATTGAAATGAAATCAATATTATTCATATTATTTTGAAGGAAATTTATTCTGGTTTTATCTTCGAGAAGATGGGAAAGAATTCTTTGTTTCAGGAAGAATTATTTTCGGAATATTATGAAAGAGAGGAATATAAATCGAAATAATTAAAAAACAAAACATTGACATTTTATGATCTGCATGCAAAAACATTTTCAAAGATATATTCTAAGAGTTAATCTAACATAACAGAAATAAATCATTTAGGCAAAACATAAAATAAATATATTTATTTTAATTTTCATTCTTATACTATGTCTTTAAAAGCAAATGTACATACATACACATATCGAAGTGCATCTTTACACTAAATTCTTTAGAGTTACTGAGTCTAACCGTCTTGATCTTGATACATCAACTAATATAAAAAAATTTTAACCGCTACTCTCTTTATTAAAAAGCTATTAACAAGTAAAATAAGCAATAAATTACAGTACAGCTTAATAATAATATTATTATTTCTATCCTGTTTTGAATGCTGTTGTAATATAAATGTATTTATTCTTTTTACAGATAAACTTTTGTGCGTCACGCTTCGAATCGTCATATTTGTTCCGTCGTGATTTCGCAATATAATAAAACGTGCGTCGGGAGTGCGGGAGTGTCGTTATACCGGGAGTGCCGTAATAGTTTCGCGCGAGTACGAAGTGCCGTATTCTGGCGAATCGTTTTGATGAACGCATAACGATAAATATTGGGACACGATTTTTTTTTCGACTTTGGGCTCGACTCGGGGGAGGGAAGGATCGGTTTTTATCATGGGATCCCGATAAAACCGTGGATCTCTTCAGTATCAGACGTGTCAACATACGTCATGCCGGAAAGCATGGGATTGGTTAATTGCAACTATGAAACATATGATCTGCGGCGTAGAAGTCAACCCAGCGACTTCGTCAGTTCCGTTTGTTAGACACCGAAATGCTGCTGGGATACCACACGCTATCCGGTTGACCCCATGATTAATCGCACCTTACTTTCTTCGAGCTTATGCTCTCTGCTTTGAGAGAATCGTGCCCCAATTTCGTAAATGTGATCGTCTGAAGCGCGGACGGAATTCGCGCGTAACGTCGCAGCTTGAACAGTTCGATTCACCTGCGACGTCGGGAGTGTCGCTTAAAGTGCCGTGCGATTTTCGTATTCGCGACGCGATTTTTGCGCGTGTGAGTGCCTTGAAGGGCCACGGAGAAGAAGGGCGCACCGAGATCTAAGGGGCATCGGATGGAGCAGCGTTGCGGTAAGTAATGTATCATAAAAAATGCATTGCAGAATAACAATTTGGTTTTAATATTAATACACTATTTTCTTAAGTTCTATGTTATACTAAACCTTGAGTTTGGCTTAAACTGACCTTTACCTAAACTAACGCTAAAGTTTCATGAACAATTCATACTTGAACTAAGCAAAATAATTTTTAGGTATAAACATATTATTGAAAAAGTTTCTAATTCAGTGTTTTTTAATTTTCAAATTAGATCTTAGTTACGAAATGTTTTAAATTTATTTTTTTTAAATAATTATCTTTTTTAAATGTATGTAACAATATTCATATTTTAATGCACTTTAATAATTTTTATCATTTTCCTTAAACAAATTTAAAAAATACATAAAATGCAGTACGTCGCTTCTGTCTTCTAAAAATCATATATACTTAAGTAAATAACTTGTCTCTCTTAGGGTCACTTTTTTCAACGTCGGTTAACGTTAACCGATGATTTCAATTTGTGAATAGAATTGCTAACATGAATAAAATAGCGTCATAAAAAAAAAAAAAATTAAAAATTTTTGTCACCTTTAATGAAGATATTTTATCTTTCATATTAGCAATTCTATTAACAAATTGAAATAGTCGATTAACGTTAACCAATGTTGGGAAAAGTGATCCTTAATCACCTAAATAGCCGATGATCATTTTGCTTACTAAAAAATTCCTCTCCAAAATAATGTTTATATAAAAGAGTAAAAACAACAAAACACTTATGCATTTGTACGTATTGTATTATTTAATTATTAAGAACAGCTTGCAGAGTCACGACTTAAAATAATGCCCTTTCTTATTCAAAGTTCTATAAAAGTGGATAAATCGCTTTACTGCAAAGTTTTGCTATAACAAACCATTCAAACAAATATGTTATAGTAATGAAGTCATTGAATAAATTTTATAAAATTTGATACATATGTTGTTTCATAAAATATTCATAAAACATTAGCGGTATCTTAAAAAAATTAATTACCCTTGTCAGTTTCGATGCAACGTAATTATTAACAGTTCTGATTATTGTTTAACTATTATAGGAAAATCATGTAATACGCTGTAATAAATAGCAACTGCACACTCCATAACAAAAATTAGTACACTCTATAATATTTTTTTTTCTTTAAATTCAACGTAATATATTTTCTCGCTTTCTACATCTATGCTTCGTGATGTGTCATTCTTTGTAACAATCGTTGCAATAAGAAAACGTAATTACCATAGGATTTATTGCAGTCTTGCTGGTTCGTATTCCATTAATGTACACCAATAATGTAAATTGAGCTTTTACCTTATTGCTACTTTAATTATAATATTCTTATGCGACATTTGTCGCATTTCGATAGTAAGGAAATAATTAACAATCATGGTTATATGATATTTTATACGGCATTTGAAACTACCAGTCACTAATTTTAATTGCAATATGTAGTATTTTCGTGTTCACAAATTGCATTTAAGGAAATTTGTCGCTAACTATGAAAACCTAGCTTAAGTAAGGCTTCGCAACAAGAGACATGATATAATATAGTTATCTGTATGTAGACTAAATTGTTGCTTCGATCTTTGGTTAAGTCTGTTAAACTTTTACGCTCACTTGAATAGGAATGTAATACATTCTTCGTCAGGATAATATATTCTTACATTTTAAACTTGATAATTTAAGCTGTTCTTAAATACATGATATCTTTGAGGAGGAAGTTATCGCTCATTTATGTACATTGCTTTTGAAAAATTTTAAAGATTATACCCTGCATAAATCCTGATATATTAGAAATGAGTTTGGTAAACGTAATTCTTTCCGCAATAATATTACATATTTTGAGTTGTAAAAATTAAAAAATTGTCATAAAGATTAAAAAAATAAATACACTACAATAAAAAATAGGGAACTCTTTTCAGACGATTAAAATCAAGGAATTTTTAAACCATTAAAACTCGGCGAAAAATCGCAGACAAAAAATTGAAAAAGCGTTTGGAAACCTTTAAGTTTCGAAAATCTTCAATATAAACTCTTAGTGCCTTTACGCATTGCCAAATAGCATTCATTGAGTTAACAAAAGTTGAAGTCAGGAAATAAATTAATTATGAAACTGTCAAATCTATAATGTGAGGATAATGAGATGTTTATACAAATTAAATGTTGCTAATGTTTACTGTCTGGTAGGAAAAAAGTAATTGAGGGCATTAGCTGAAGGCAACTTTTGTTAACTCAATGGATATCCTATTTGGCAGAATATGCGAATGCTAAGAATTTATACTGAAAATGATCAAATCCTGACCGAAATATGTACCAATTGTAGTTACTGAAAAATATGTAATTAGCAACTTGCGTAGCTCGAATTCTCTTTATTATTTGTGTTAATTTATTTATTCAAATGAGTCTAATATTCTTATTTAAAAAAATGATGAATTTTTCATACATCGTTATTCTTCGAAACGTCACAATTGAAGCACAAAAATTTTTGCGAGGACATGACTAGAAGCAAAGAACGATTCCTTCAAGTATTTTTATAAAACTGGACCCATTTTTCACGATACTTTTGCAAGTCCACCGATCTCTAGACCGTGACCCCAGATGTTTGTTTGCGTCCACGTTGTTTCATGTGAGTTTTCTCGTGGCGAGTCCAATTCGATCGTATTTTCGTCTTGTAATCGCAATAGTAGCACTTGTACTGCGGCTCCTTGCCGCACTCGTCTCTTTGGTGGCACTGCAAAGACGCCTTCCATTTATACTTTCTACCGCAGCGGCCGCAGACGAAGGGCTTGTAATTATCCCAATGTTGTTCATATTGAAAGTGTTGCTGGCCTACAATCAAACAAGCCCATACGCGTGAGAATAGCCATTAGATAAGTTTTATATGTGCAAAATGATATTAGGATGAAGAATCTATTATTTGAACATTACTCCTAAAATGAATGGATTGCGTCAGACTGTTGCATTGCTAAAAAATTAGAATTGATATGAACTACAATTGCTGGGATTATATTTGGTTTCCTTAAAACATAAATATCTTGCGTGCCGCTACATCGTCGACGCATGACAAAAATTGAAAAACAAAAAAATTAATATAAAAATTTTTATCGAACATAATTACGGATATTCAATTTCTATGATCGAGTATCATTGTCGAATTGAAAGATAAGCGTGTAAATTGGTTAATATTTTTTTAAAGAAATTTTAAAAAATGTTAATAAAAAAATAGAATAACATATATTTCTTATTATTTGCATTAATTTTCTATTTTTATCGGTAATATAAAATGCGCGTTTACCGGAAAATGCGAATTAAATTTGTCGGCACCCCAATAAATAAAAAAAATGTAGATTTTACATCTGGAAAACATGCAAATATGCATATTGAAATAAATCATGCAAATAGATAAATATATAGGATTTTCCCATTCGTAATTATGACATAAACATGAAACAGACCTGATATTAAGTGTTACATAATTTTACTTCATCAAATCTCCAACGAGTAAAATTTTATACAATATATGAGACAAGGTTTTAATTTAAAAAATTTTTAATTTTTAAATTAAAAATTTCTGAAATAATTTTTGCATTAAATAAATTTTTTATTACAATGCAATTCTCATAAAAAATTTGTAAAATTTTATTTAAAAATGTAATATCTTAAGTGTTTTGCACAGAAAATTTTATTATTCTTAATATTTTACTATTATAAAAAAGATTTTACTATTCTACGTTAAATTTTAATTTTTTGTTTTTTTTTATTCTTTTGTTCTTTATCAAAAATATATAATTATTATAACATATAATTAATAATTATAATTAATAATAATTTATTAATAACAATTAATAACTATAATAATAATAATAATCAATAATTATAATTAATGATTATATGTATTTTATGTAATTATGTAAAATTATGTAATTATGTAAAATACTATATATATATATATATATTATATAATATTAATTATATATTTAATATAATATATTTATTACATATTATAATAATATTGTAATATTATATATTATATTATAATTATGTATATATATAATATTGTATATACATATATGTATTATACAAAAAACTAAATATTGAGTTCAAAGAGATAATTTTATAAGCATTATTTATAACAAAATAATTTGTTCATTTATATCGTGTTCTGTTGATTATAATTGATTTAAATTATAATCCTTGATCCACTCGTCCTCTTCAGGATTAATAGTAATTTCGGTAAATGACATTAATAGTTATGTAATTCTCTTAGATGGAATAACCAGTAACGCTGTCTTCTAGTTGTAAATGAGCAAAGGTGACAACGATAAATCTCATCGCATTCATTTCGTTGGTAACTACTCTTATGAGAACTCCAGGTGCGACGTTTAAAGGTAGAAGTCATCGTCAATTGATCTGAAAATAAAGAATACAAAAAGTGTGTCAATATGAGTGTGAAAATAGATGCAAATCAGCTAAAATGCGATGATGAACAAATATCTTATTAAAAGATTTTTTTCACAATACAATAATTCTTCCCTTGATATGTATTAATTACGATATTCATTAAATAATCATGATATTATGTATCAAATTTTTCAATACATTTTTTCACGAGTCTCATGCACAATCTTCTTTCACCTATAAAAATCATAATTGTGTTTACAAAACAAACCACCGTATAAAAACCGTATAAAAACACAGGAGCCCAGAAACCCACTACTGCGCAATAAAAAACAATACGGACAAAATGACGAATTTTCGGCACACAATATGGACATAAAGTGAAATCTTTTTGGCTGAATAATTAAATTCATTTCTTTATTATTTGTCGAACATTTTCGCTAACACAACGATTATCAGTGATACACTCACAATGATGATAATGATTTAAAATGCGCACAAAAAACCACAAATCAGAAAGAATATACTTTATGCATATATATTTGCACGTACGTAATGCAGGGGTCGGCAATATTTTGGCACTTGCTGGCCGCGTTTGATATCATATATGATTAAATCATACGCGTAAAATATCTAGCTAACGCGTACAAAATATAGACGGTCACCTAGGAAATAACATAAATTCGAGTAAGTTTAACAATAAATCGCGTTGTCGACCCCTGATCTAATGGGATCGATTAAATCGTAGATATATCTTGATTACATTAATGAACAATATTACGCATTTTTCTCGGCCATTTATTCAGTAATATTATATCGCCATTTTAACGAAATTCCGCGTAACTCCATTTGCATCATCAATTCACAAAAGAAAGTCTAACTAACGCAAAAACTGTTCGCAAATATTTTAACATTAAGTATTCGCGAAGATTTGACGCGAAACACGCCTGAGAAAGTTGCAACAGAATATAAATGTTGTCCACAATGTGGATAAAACAAAGTATAGGATATTTCACAGTATAAGAAATGAGAGTTTCTTTACTACTAAAAATATTGCAATGCGAAAAATCACTGTACGTGGAGTTACAAGGAATTCCTACTATATTCTTTTGTCCTCTATTCTTATAGTTGTATATCCAGAAGAGCTCCCAACGTAAGGAGAGCCAAAACGCTTACGTACTAATTATTATCATCAATCACCTTAACAACTAGAGGTATCTCTTTGGTTTCGCATTGCCTCTTTAGACTTGTTTCGCCCGCGTATCCGAAAAATCATACATGTATATATATATGTATTATAATGCATATTTACATATATAGTTGCGCGTGTATGTAGTTTCTATATGCACTCATGTATGTGTATATATATAGAATCTTTATATTTCATCTCTTTGTGTGTGTGTATATATATATATATATATATATATATATTTCTTCTTCTTTATCTTCTTATATATATTTATATATAAGGTGACTTCAAAATAACTCTATAGGCATCTCGTGTACAGCCATTCATCGGCTTGCACGATGACTCGAGTATTGCGTAATAGCTGGCCTCATTTATATTGGCACAAAAGTCGCAAAATCAACGCGAACGCGTGCGTATATCGCGCGCATCAATTACAATTTGTTGCTTGCTTACAAATATTACATCTCGCACGACGATAGAAATCGCCATTAATCGCCATTAACGTTGTCACATATTGTTGTTCGTGTTAAATTTGCTGTTATATTTCATTAATTATATTTGATCTGAAAGCAATTATGTGCAGATCTAAATTAATTTGAATAACAGACGAGCCTTACAATCGCGACACACTTTCAAATTGCCAAAAAATAATGACAAACAGTCCTGTCCGATTAACATGTCAATATTTGGAATTTTGTTTCGAAATTCGGGGAATTGAAAATGGAAAATTTCTCGTCGGCGTGCGAGAGAGGTGCAACGTCGTCGCTTGCATCTTTAATGCTGGGACAATCGCACGTATGTTTCGCGTCGCTCACACGTTAATAACAAATGTATATCTCTCGCTTCGTACAATTTCCTCTTTTTTTTTTTTATTTTTTTAAATTTATTTTCAGTCTTTCCGCCACTGTACATCTCGTTTCGCATCTTTAATCGCGAAATTGCGAAATCGCGTGAAAAGCAGAGCTTTTCCCTCTCGTGCTGTGTGTACTTCGGCTCATCTCTGGTTCGATAACATGGAAAACTTGGAAGACACATTCCGTTTGCTTTCACGTTTCGCGCGAGATCGACGTTACGCTGTACGCAATAATGGCATACGTCGTCGTCGATCGCGCGCATTCTGCACATACACGTATGGAAAAAATTGCAACAGATATGTAAATCGCTTGCTCACATTTCCATAATTATTTTCGAAACATTCTCTGTCGGGTGACATGTGAATTGTGGGTTGGTCGCTGTAATATTGATAAAAGTATTCCGCGAATATACTCTGAGAAAGATGTCGAACATGTGTGTAATAGAAAACTTTCCGCTGTATCTCAGACATGGTAAAAAATGTCCTACTGCTTTGATTATTGCTGAAACAGATCTTATCGAATAACTTGCTGGTCGTTTCTAAATTATTCATGCCGAATATCATGATATTGTACGCCTTCGCCGAAAACGGAAGGATGACACTGCAGACCAGGATCGAAGGATCCCTGTTGCATAACAAGAAACTAGATATCATATGCGACGCGCGGGCGTCGCATTTTACAACAGCGCGTTTTGATCACATTTTTAGGCACATGGAGTCGATTTGGACGACGCACGAGGATCTCCTTATCAATAATTTGATTTTCGCAAGGAAGCTGAGAAAAGGAAAAATTCAAGAGTCAGCGGAAACGCAAGATCGCTCGGATGTGCGAGATACTTTCGAAATTTTCAAGGTCAACGAAGAGGAGCACGTCGAAGCTGAGAGGTTCGCAGTCGCGTTTGCTTTCACGAGTAGTGCCGATCGATATTTCGCGCGGGAAAAGAATCCCGCGATACTTTGTCGTTGCTCGTCGAACTTGTGATCGCGCTTCATCAAATTACGTCGCATTCCACAAGATGGTGACTTGATGTTGAATCAAGAATACCGATCGGACGATCGTGATCGTAAGATATCGGACAATCGAGTGAATTTAGTTTAGAGACAATAGTCGACAGATGCAGATCGCTACGACCGCACAGACACAGATCGATCATCAACGATGTCTAGATCTAAATTGAGATTATTCAAGACTTCTTCAAAGATCTAGCAGAGCTTAGCTCGAAACTACGAATTTCTAGGACAAAGAGAAAAAGAGATACATACGAGAAGTAGATATAGATATCGGGAGCGAGAAAGAGAGAAAGACAGAGAGGAATAGAGAAAGAGAGTAACACTCAAAGATTTTCTAGATCTATAGAATAAATACGAGACTTTCTCCACATTTCTACGGTCGTCCTAAGATAATGTTTATCTTATTCTTGGTCGGGACAAGGCTGCTCGGCGGGCTTGACTAGAATTCAGACAGTTTTTCGTCGATTCTTTGGTCCTTAATCGAGTATCTTCTCGAATTCGTTGGATTTCGAAGGAAGCTCGTATGTCGGGCACACGCGAGGATTATTTCATCAAAATTCTCGCAAATGTTTCTACAGTGTTTGAAACGATGCTCGCGTCGCCTCGTTGTATTGGTATTTACATCGGTCACATTCATCCCGATCGTCGGAATTAATTAATTATTAAAACACATGTGGAAGTTAATGCAGTAGAAGATTAATGTTGTTTAACTTCCTATGGCACACAGAACAAAAATTCGATCCATTTCGATGAAATTGGAAAAGAAGCGCAAATTTTTGTCATAAGATTACACATTTGTCTGAATTTCCACTCTATATTTTGAAGAAAATATCATTTTTCGTTCAGCAATGTATTCCAATTTAATCAATTAATTAATTAAAAAAACAAATGTATATAAAAGATTAATTAAATACGCACATAATTATTTAACGAAATGTATCGTGGAAAAAATTAATAAAATTTCAAATTCGCTGTTGAAATGGATCGGAAATGAGTTTAATGAGTAATTTGTCCCGACCAAGTATGGAAAGACTGCCTGCCTCCAACTGCAGTGTATAGCTCACTACTTGTACGGTAATATATCATTGTAAATTATCATTACGTCATACGTATAATATGTATGTGATATACATAATACATACACAGTATATGTACCTCTTTGATTTATTATATTCTCTATCTCAAATATCTAATGTAGAATAAGTTGTGACCTGCTTAGGCCGTTCTCTAGACTAGACGACTTTAATTCAGATGAAAAGTCGCGAACAAACACACCCAGGAAATTTATTCGTATAAATACTTTGCAGTATCAATTTCGTCTCTACGTTTACCAAATATCGAATCAACAACAATTATATCTTTAGACTGCAAAAAAATTTGTTTGGTGCATCGAATAGTTCGCGATCTACGCACAATTCTATGACGGACAAGAACTATTTAATTGCCTTTTCCTCAGGCAGTAACAACGGATGCCATTAATATGAAAATATTTCAAATCTCAACAAAACGCGGAAAATATAAATAATTATAAATTATTGCAACTATATTTTAATTAATTTGATATTAATTTGATATTTATCAAAATTTCGCATTGTGAGAGAAATCTTTATAGAACATTGAAATTATACTCTAAATTATGCTGTCGCCTGCTCTTTAAAAATCAAAGTTTGATATTACAAACTCTTGGGCGAATCTATCAAATAAATTTAAAAAATTGCAAAAATTGGTAATAAAATCATATAATTATATGAATTTACTACTGTCAGTACCGCCAAGATCTCCCTTCATCGTAAATTATCGAAATTTCTCCGTCTAAAGACGACAAGAAGTTGCAGACTGGTCTGAGACTAGATTTGGTGAACAGTCCTTAAGCTAGGCTACACTAGAGAGCTAAATTCGGTAATCTATGTATGTGGGGGATATTTCGTTGCGCCGAGAATTTTCCGCTCCTTCTAACTGACGACCAAGCCTCAGGTCTCCTACGTTGTTTAGCCTCTATCGGAGCGCATTCTCGCATTACTTATAATTAGTATAAAAATAATTGGGCAATCTGCAGAAGACTCGAAGATGCCCCAAAAAAGTGTCCTTACTTTTTGCTAGGTTATTTTTAATTGTTGCTTTTACGTGACTTGGGGGGGAGGGGAAAAAAAAAAAAAAAAAACGTAAAGTGCACACAACGCTTGAAAAATGAAAATAATAAAATATTTGTTCGGCAATGTTTGGCAACAGATATTCAGATGTTGTGTGCGACAGTCCGGAATTGTTGGCAAAAGTGCAACAAACAGAACAAGGCAATTTCTTCGCACTTTTTTGGCAACTTCTACAAGTCTGATATATTCAACAATATTCTTATTCGACTTTTTATCCATTTATATATATATATATTGTTAAACGGGATCCAACAAATGCTAGCTTCGCGCCGCGATGGCGGATCACTAATGTTCTTTTTTTTTTGTTTTTTAATGTTTACTTCATTTTCTTAGTTAAAACGCTCTTTCTCATCCTTTCTTTCTAATATCGTACAAACGGCAGGTAAATCTTGCCGCGACTCTTACTCTGGAAAACGATATTGAACGAAAAAATTTTTTAAATCCTAGTATATAGCGCAGTTGAAATATATATTGTCTTATGTAATGCACATCGCTAATGTTTCAGTGCTAGACAAAAATGTATCTTTGGTATATGTTTCTTAAATATCCATTTTACGTTAAACTACTTTTTACGCGATACCACGCAGAGTGAGAGATCTCCATTACGAATAATATCTATCTGTGCAATAAAATAGGAACAAAAAAAAAAAAAGAGAGCGTCTGAATTTTGAAGACTCAAAAATCATTTCTTTTGCCCTGTTTAGACCGGAAAGTGATCCTACTTGTGGCTCATACGAGTGGATAGTTTGACAGACACGTGAAAATTACACTGAAGTTGGCTTTTAATCGCACCAACGGAATTTTTTTATCCAATTAAAAAAAATTATTTGGGTTGATATAATTGAAGGCCAACTTTAGTATAATTTTCACCCGTCAAACTATCCATTCGGATGAGCCACGAGCAGTCTCATCCTTCGGTTTAGACTCGGCTTTTTGGCACTTGTTTTGTAACAACGCGAACGGCGCGATATCTCGAGTTAGTTTAACGGAAACCCAATGCCTGCGGAAGTTTATCGTTCAGATTGGCACAATATTGTATAACGGCGTGGAATTGTCGCAATTCTCCATCTCCGTTTACTCGACGCGATGTAAATCAAGGTTTTTTTTTAATTTTGGCACTCTCTCTGAATGTATCCCCAGCCTCAATCACAAAATCGCAACCGGTTCGGATCTTGTCGCAAGAACATCGAGAATCCACTGCCGCCTTACGTCGCGACCTCGCAAACCATGACGAGTCACTCCCTGCCGTGCTGATGGCGCGTTTCTCGCTGACCGACGGCGATGCCGGGCAACGCGGATTGCAGATCGACGTGCCGGTGGTTGATGTGCGCCTTGAGATTGCGCTCGTACTTAGAGCTGAAGGCGCAGTGCGGGCAACTGAAGGACGGCGCTTTGCCGCACTCGTATAGCAGGTGCCGTTTCAGGATGTACGCGTTCTTGTAACTCTTACCGCATCGCGAGCAATTGTGGCGGCGATCGTGATGCGCCAGACCGCCACCGCTGCCGATACTCGGGTGATTGTTGTTGCGACTGGCGGCGTGTCGCGACGGACAGTGCAGCCGGGGACGACGGTGCGGCGTCAGCGGCGCCGGCACGTCGCTCGCCGTCGACGACGTCGTCGTCGTCGCCGCGCTGTTCGCGCTCCTCGAGGCGCGCCGCGAGCCGTCACCGCTCCAGCCAAGGCCGGCGAAGAAACCTGCAAAAGACGCAAGCAAACGGGCCCGGACGGCACGATTAGTACAGCGATCTGCGGACTATGGTCGCGCGATGCCCCCCCTCTTGCTCGGGAGGGGGAAACACGCGTAGTTATTGTACTCTTCACAACGGCGCGGGCCATGCCAACAAAAAAGACATTCAAGATCTCAAGCTTAGCAACAACGAGCAGGTGGCGGGTTCGGGAGCGAGGGAGCAGGGACGATTCTTGACAATGATAATGATTATCTACTCGTCCGGGGATCTGCTCACGGATATTGAAAACTGAAAAAATCTGTTAGATTGTGTGTAAATGTCGAATCGATATGTCACGATCTTGTAAATTCGAAATGTGACGCATCTTAAAATGGAATTGAATTCGAATCAGGAATAACTTGATATGGAAGTGTAAGAAGATCTTAGAATCAGCCAATTTATTATTAGATCACACGTGATTCTAAAATATTCTTTTATCGAGATGCAAAGTTGAAACTTCGTTGCTGTCTTCTTATCGCTTGACGTACTGAAAAGACCGTTGAATATGGATTGATGATAAATTGCATGATTTCTCGGTGCACTGCTGTCTTGCCGCACAGATCTCTTCGTCACCGCGCTTGTTATCTGAAATTCATAATTTATTTCGTCAACGTTGTATGTAATCAGAAAGATAGCGTTGGGATTGGGATATTAATATTAATGATATGAATTTTTCGTAGCTCTTTATTTTTAAGAATTACATTTCTTCGAAACGTTTTACGACGCTTCTTATCCTCCGTCGATTTTACGTTTCACATCCGTTGTGTCCGAATAACGATGAGATTTCGTAAGCATTCTTAGAAGGTCCACACAGAGATTCATGTCATCGACAGCAGCACCTGCGAAAAATTGAACTAATCAGTATACGGAAATGATAACTAAATGATTTCCACGGAGACTTCAAGCTTGTCCTTAGAGACGAATTCTATTTTCTTTCATCCTGCAAAAAAATATTTTTCTACATTTTATATTATTTATATAAAGTTCTACTTTAAAATAAAATACAGGAATTTTGAAAATTGCCGAATATAGTTTTATAAATTATTCTACACTAAGCTTTCAAACTAAAAAAAAAAAAGGAAATAGAAATAGAAAATTATTATTTAATTAATTATAATATATAAATGATAGAAATTTGGTAAAAAAATTTTTAAGTAAAAATATTAAACCAGAGAAAAACCTGTTTACTAAATTTGAGGAAAAAAAATCGTAGCTCGTTTTAATTATTAAATAAAATTTTGCTCCTTACTTCACTCGCCTTTCACTTTTTATAGAATAGGATCGTCGCGTTAATCCGCGACGAGAAATGAGAATCACAGGGAGGTGAAGAGAACGCGGCGGAGTGTTGCCTTTCTAGATTTTATTTTGCTCTAAATCGAATACAAGGCGCTCTACAAATTGACAAAAAAAAGAGGGAAACAAGCGTTTTGGAATGTTCGAAAGGTCCGGAAAATGATATGTGTGTACAGAAAAAAACCGGAAAGGAAGCACGGTGGTGGACAAACAGGTGTCGAACGTTCGGTCTGTCGCGATCAACGCGGGATCCCGCGAGTCTCTCTCTGGCTCTCGCGATTTGGATTTCTTCCGATTTCTTTACAATTCATGCGATCGAGAGATATGAGTACCGACGCGAGTTCGAGACCGACCCAGCGTTCCCTGTCAGTTCCTTAAACAAGCGACTCTTCTTACGTGATACAAACGAACGCCAATAAAACGGCGACGCGGCGATGAAGTTCGCACTCCGCTAAATCACGTTGTCTTAACCGTTGCGAACGAGTGATCTCCGTATACGTGTTTCAGGCGTCACACGTGGACACGTACGTGTTTCGTGTGTATTATGCGTTATGTGACACGTATGTGTGTGCATGTCTCTGTATGTTTCGCTGTGGATTCGTCGCAAGAGAACAAGCAAAAAAGTATCTAGAAAGATTATCGTTATCATCATAGCGTAGTCGTTAATAATTGTTGCTCTCTAAATAATATTAATATATAAAATGAAGGCAAAAAGAAGAATAATAATTAATAAATCATCGTTCGTTGGCAAATACATGGCGACAAAGAAGTTACGATTACAAGTAGTATGTTTTGCGTTCGAGGCGCTGAGCGGAAGTTGTAGGTTGTATTTTATGTTTTACGTGTTCTTCTCTCTCGTTCTCTTTTTTTTTCTCTCTTTCTCTCTCGCTCACATTCTTGCTCATTCGCTCTCTCTTTCTTTCTTCATCGCTCTTTCACTCTATTTTATTTCTGTACAGTTCGAGTACTGTGCTTGTACTAAGAGTATCGTACTTAAAAAATCAAGTGCGAGATGCCCGTCGAGTGTCCGCTTAAAAAATAACAGTGTTCAAGATACTGTTCGCAAGTGATCTGGTGTGTTCTATAACAAAACGATATTAGAGAATGTTGATCAAAATGTTGATCGTCGTTCGATCAAATGGAAGAGAAATTATCGGACGCAGATCGAAGCGACATCCCGCACTCACAATCAGTGTTCTACTTGCGCGCTCGTGTGTGGCGCGATTTAGTCTTCGCTATTATTTATTACAGATAATTGTACTGTTAAAGATGAACGAAAAAAAAAAAAACAATCAAAATGAAACCCGAGGCAAAAGTTACACACTCGTGTCTCTTACGAGAGATAAATGTTGTAAAAAACAATAAAAATGTGTAAGAAATACGAGGAATAACATATGATCTACATAGGAATAAATACGGAACTGATGTAAAGTAAGACGTGAGGGATCACATATGTTACGATTAGTTGTCGCAAAGGTTGGGGAAGAAAAATGTCACGCGAAGGGCATGGTCGATTATGTAAAATGGATCGACAACGGAGATTGAGTACGTCTTAGCGGATAGTATAGTATTGGCAGTATAAAGGCGAGTGATTGAGATTAAATTCCGCTTCCTTCGGCGTAAATAAATAATTTTTAAAAAAATATCACTGGTCTCGAGATGTATTTGCGCGGAACGTCGCCGGAGATTTCGACCAATGGGGCTACTCGTCGCAAAAATCCTCATCGAAGGAGTATCGTTTGCTCTGACATGTAACGAAAAAAAAAAAAAAACTAAAGAAATACATGTTCGATAACAATTTCAAAAATAGTACCTGTTTTTACATAAACAAAAAAATGTGCAATGTTAAAGTTTATACATTCCGTTAATCGTCGATGTAGAATTTATCCGTAAGAATTTTTCAATTAGGCAGCTCGTAGAAACAAATGAGATTAAAAAAATCAGAAAAAAGTCAAAGCTTCACCGGAAATACACGTCGAGCAGCTTCATCGCGTTGTCGTAATCTTGCACACAAGTGGCGACGCCCGACCGAATAATACCGTAAAAATCCGTTCACAGCTGGACGCGCCCAGCGCCTCTTTTGTTTCTTTTCTTCTATAGCCTAAAATCTAAGTCGTATTTGAAGGCACTTAACACAAGGCTCTCTCGGTTCAAAACCTACTTGTCTCGACTTTCTCGTCTCTCCCTCGTACGCGCTATTTGCTCTTGTTACGCCATTTCCTACAGCTACTCGCTCATTTTCCCGCGATTATTTCCTTCTCTTCTCTCGTGTTTCCGCGAAATGTCGAAAAATCGCTTAAGGGAGTTCTGCGATGGGTGGTCGAACTACATAGTCACATTGTTTCTCGCGTCGTTCACCTTCCATCATCGTCGCACCCCTGCATGTTTCCCTCTCAATCACACAGCATACTTCCCGTCTCTCGCACATACGGCAGATGTAACACGGCACCTCCGGGCCGATTAACGATCTGATTGCAACGCATTGTTCTTTTATTAATTTAATAGTATGCAACGAATCGGTCGCCCTGCGAAGACAAATCAATCGATGACACACAATTAAGTGGCTATACAATTCTTCATTCTTATAACAAGCTTCCCGCGAAGACCGGATAATTTTGTTTTTAATCATATTTCTAACACTTGACAGTTGATCGAAAGACAATATGGACAGCATAAATATGGTGTGCCTGCACGATATAAGCGTGTACAGCTTTCTTAATGATAAGAGCGCTTTACGATTCCCGAAATCGTCCGTCCATTTTGTCGCGACAACATTATATACCAATTTCGACTAGATTGAGTACTTACAAACCATAGCAGTGATGCACATTTCCTATCCGGTCCTCGAATCACATAATCCGATCGTTCTTCCGTGCGTGCGGGATATCCAGCGGCTGACTAATACAATCGTGGTTCGTACGTTGCGAGAAAAATGTATAATAAAGATGAAGGGTCCTTTTATCGATGAAAGATGCACAAAATCATCGTCCGGTCCTTTATCACGCAGAAACGACGGACGATTTTTATTGCAACGTTAATTTTCGACATTACGCGTCGACGCAAGTTTTAGACATGCTTGTCCATAAATAAATTTCTTTATACATCTGTATTATCGCTTTGAGATATTTAAGCGCCGATCCCGATCGCTGAAGAACGTCGATTTCCGATCGCAGGGCCACGAAATTCGCTGTTCATTCCGCATACTATTCGAGCTACGCAGTTCCTAATTGATATAAATTCGATTATGGCGATATCTTTATTTCATAGGATAAAATGCCTATATGAGTCTTTACAATTGCGTTCTTTGTATGCATAAGATCCATATTCTACACCAAGAATTTTGAATAAGCTCCTATTTAAAAGATGTATTCTATGGAAAAAATCCGATTTTACATCGCTTGGGAACCAACCAGCTCGCTTATCACTCTTCATCCATTGCAAAAGCTCTCAGCAAATTCATTCGCATTCATTTTCAATATATATAATATATAATATATACATATACATATTATATATGTTATATATAGAGATCAGAATAGAATCTTATCGTTCGCTCTATTTCTTCTCTCGTTTCCTTTCTTATCGGATTATATCTCTTTCTATATCTTCTCACTTATTCAATATCATTCATTCTCGCTCTGTCGCGCTAAACATAACAGGCTTCCCAAAAGTAGTACGGCCAGAAATATACGATAAAGCTACGCGATCGTCTCTATATTTATGAAAATAACGTGCATTGCACGCGTTTATTAACCCCAGAACGACACACTGGGTTCAATAGATAGCTCCTTACAATCGTTCGTTGCAATACGATTTTTTAATAGTGTCAGCATTTCAGTATGCAGAAAAGGCCTCAATGTATTCGTTAGAATGTAATGTATTAGCGGATTTGAATAATTTTAATAATAGATTATTTCACGGATTTAAACGGAATGTTTCTTTAAACAAAAATAAAATCATTTATTTGAAACTGATTGAAACGCTATATTTTATTATTTACACGTGTAATTTTTAATTATAAATATTAAATACGTTCAAAATAAAACCTATCACTATTTTCGTTTGACTAAAAACCCAATTTAAATCCGTCAAAAAATTTTTTATCAAAACTTTATCCAGTGCTGGCATAACACTATTCGTGTACTATTTAGCTAAAATTGACAGATGCAGATATGAAAATATTTGGATATTAAAATCCTCAACGCGCAGCTGAGGATTTTATTAAAAAGTCTGCCGTTCTAAGGGTTAAAATTCTTCATCACATGTTCTCACCGGGATGCCCATTCGCGCCCATTTCGCAATACAAAGCCAGCATCCGTTCGCGTATTTCGAAAAAACGTGAATGCGTGACGTTTATAAACTTTCTTCCTCCCGCTCGCAAATAGAATAATATACTTCTCTATCTCTTTTTTGTTTTTTTGTTTCAAAAAAATAAGCGGTATACTTTCTAAATACCTGGATGGCATGCGTGTAACACCCCGTCATAATAAATCTCTCTTGTCATCCCTCGCTTCGACCCCCCCCAAATTCCACTGGAAATTTTGTTTTTTCCTCAAAAAGAGCAAAACACAAAAAAAAAAAGGGCGGCCGACCGTCTGAGCAGTATTACAGAACCAGAAATTCCTATATCCTAAACGAGATACTCTTACAATATTCTACGCAACTTTCGATAAACGCATAGTTAAATATATTGTTAAATAAATTTTTAACGATAAAAACGCGCCGCGTTTTATTCGAAAAAGAAAATAAATCTTTTGTTATCTATACAAACACCGAATCGTATTTTTTTAATCCTAAAATCGTGGCTTCTCTGCACCGCTCAGACGACTGATCTCGAAAGAAATTTAGCGTCTAAATATCACACGTAGCACATCTCATAAATCGTCGCGAATAGCATGAAACGCAATCGAGGTTTCCTGCGCGAATCGAATGACAATTAACAACGGTCCGTCATGCAGTCGAGCGATTCAATTCAAATTGAATAAAACGTAATCGAGCGTGTCAAAATATTCAACATTTCATTTGGTTGCTTGAAATCGCGCGTGTATTTTCGCGCGAACAGTGTCTCACGTCAGAGTGTGTAATATATTGTTGTCAAGCCAGAAAATGTTCGTTCTGGGTTCAAGCTGTAGCTGTTATATATATTGTCGAATATAATCATGCATATTAAAAAATCGAGTCACTGCAAGTATCGAGTTCTTGACGCGACGTGCGATTATTATCGTTTCCGTTTGCATTTATATTTAAGAAACAATTACATAAAGCATTTTAAGTAATGAAGCATTTTATCATGGATATTTAGCAAACATTATACCCAAATAATCCTAAGAATATAATATAGAATTTTTAATGCTAAATAAAAATTTACTATAAAGTTAAAAGTTTACGATAAATATATATTATCCAAATTTCTTTTTTCGCCAAAATATAGAACTATACCAAAAATACATGCGCATAAAATATCAATTTAAATTAACTTCCAAAAATTTTAATAATTTTATCACCTTTCCCAATAAAAATATATATATAATTAGCGTCCGAAATAATTAAACAAAAGAACTAAATCTATTCCTTTCTTAATAACATATCACGTTAAAATCACGTTAAAAAGCTGTTATATTTCATGTATTAAAGAATAGTTAATTTTATGCATTATAAATTATTGTCTTTCTCGTAATGAGAAAAGCGATAATATCCAATCATCGCGTCAGGATCTACGAATCTCGATGAGGCACCTTCGATCGACGGGCAAAAAGAACTAAATGTCAAAGTAAAATAGCATTGGTCGCGTTTCGCCTCGCTTCCTCTCGAGCTCCGGCACAATGTTTTAATTAAATTTTTGCAATGTTTCTTCGTTTCGGTTAGAGTTTTCCCAATCTCCCAAACCGACACCAAAAAAGAAAAAAGAAAAAAAAAAACGTTATACGTACATATCTAAATGCAAGGAATTCCTCGCTCCGCGAGTGCGATCGCCGTAATCGCAATATGTAAAACCTAATTAGAAGAAGATTAATAAGCCCAATTATAACGCGCAAGACTCGAGTTAGACCTGATTAAAAGCTGTGTAAGTAACACAAAGACCAATTCTCGTAAAAAAAAGCATTTACGACGCTTCACCTACGTACTTTTGTGTATATATATCTATATATGTATATATATATAATATTTTGCTTACTTATTTCAAATCCTACGAAAAATTTTATCTCATCTCTTCTGCCTATTCTTACGCCCACCCTTTTCGCGCTTTCAATTTTTCTTCTTATTTTTTTCGTTTTTTCCTTTTTTTTTTTACAAAATTTTTTATATCGACGGCGGGCACGAATCTACGCGTATTATGCGATAGTTTCATCGTCGGTTTTTTTTTTCCACAAATTTTGCTCTTTTTATTTTATTATAATTACTTTGTGATATATCCCTTTCTCTGTGTGACTCTCTGTGATCTATAATCGTGGCAGCCAGCCGAATGATTTCGCGTGGACGCTCTGCGTCGCCTTCATCATCATCGCTGCAAAACCCGCGATGGCGAATCACTCGGACGATTATAAAGATCTTCATCTGCTTTCCTTCTCGCGCGCTACCTCTCGCTCTTCATCACTTTCCACATCTGTTCTTTCTGTTTCACGCATTTTGAGTCATTTCGAAGGCACATATATACTGAATTACAAATATCATCAGCGCGACACAGTCGCGTCGTCTTACACCTCCTTCTTTCACGTCGTCGTCGTTGTCGTTGTTCGTTCGCTTTTTTTCGTACTTTTCTCTTTTTGCTTTAATTTGAAACAGAGCTAAGCGAGAGTGTGCAAGCCGCCATAAGTGCGTGCAGACATATCAAACGAAGAGAAAACGAGTCGAATATCCTGAAAGAATACAACGAAGGAAGAGTATCCACGGTTCAATCCATCGTGTTCCACATCTAACGTTCTCCCACCCTCACGCATTGATGCATTGATGATTATGTTCACTTAAATGCAAATTGAACCCAATTAGCGAGGGAAAATACGTGGCGCGATTGTAATGCAATCACAATTTCTTTTTCTAAATTCTGATTGCATGATATAGCGGTTTTACTTTAAATACAAAAGAACTATTTAGATTTGATTTTCCGGAAGATTATTTGATTTTTAATCGTTTCCATAAGAATTCGCAAGCCTCGAACAATTTCGTCAAACCGGTATTGTGCAAAATTATTATGTCGTATAATTCGAAAGAACGCAATTTGGCTAAAACGGACCCCGAAAAGAATTGGATTTGCTTCGCGTATACGTCATAAGTCTAAATTTTAAAATTTAAGAACTAGTTAAACAAAAGATTCTCTATTAGAATGTCCGCTATAAAATTTATTTTGATAGATAATAACAAGGCACACGAGTTTTCCTATGAAAATTCGATAATCGCAACCCGCGAATCTATTCTGTATTTTTCTAATGCCCTGCCTAGGCCGGAAGATAATCCTACTTACGATTCATCCGAATGGACAGATAAAAATTATACCGAAGTTAACTTTCAGATGTATCAGCCATGTTAAATAATTTTTTTATCCAATTAAAAAAACGATTTGGGTTGGTACGATTGAGAGCCAACTTTAGTATAATTTTCACCCATCAAATTATTCCATTTGAATGAGCACCACAAGTGGAATCATCCTCCGGTTTAGACATAAATCATCGATTCGATCGTTTTGGTGAAAAGATTAGCCAAACGATAAAATTTCGATTTTGCACAGAAACAATCATCGCGTCACCACTTACATCCCTCCAAGTTCTCCCCTCCCCCCTCCCCCCTCCCAATCGCTTTTCTCCTCCTTTTCACTGAACGATATCACTGCTTCCCCCGATTTTATCACTATAATTATCACTTTCGTTGTTGCCCACATGACATTTCTTTCTGCCGCCACTCTCTCATCCCTATCTTCGATCTATCTTCTTCATTTATGCCCTCCCCTAATAAAGTTGTCCTCTACACATCTCTCCGGCGTAGATTCTCGCGGGAAAAGAAGAACGCCTTAGGTGCGCGCTCCCTTCCTTTCCTCTTAGAAAAAACATAGAAAAAAGAGTCGTTAAGAGCTACGACCTACCTAATAGTACTCTTACATACCTAATAATCTAGTAATCTCCGTCGATGACGGCGGTCCGTTGGCGTTAACCCCGTAACACTTGTCCCGAGCACTATACCGTTTCATCGCTCAGCCCCGTCCACTTTTCCCAATCGTTTCTCTCTCTCTCTCTCT